CCTTCAGTCTTAAACTCTGCACTTCAGCTACAGGAACACCTCTTCCATCCACTAACGGCCCTCTGGTTTCTCACCCAGCATGAAGGTAGATGCTCTGGATAGCAGACTTTGCATGCTCCTTTTCCCCCAAAATGTCAGTCCTCATTGGCACTTTCCAAGTGCAGTTTCTCTAACTCAACCTGCTTGATCAGTGGCAGAATTTCAGTCTAGTTTTGGCTCTGTTGGCATACTGTCCTGCTTGGAAGTACACAGATGTGTAATTAAGTTTTGCAAATGAATGGCTCTTGCCAGATCTGGCACTCAAATGCTTGTGTTTCAGGCTTTGTGGTAAATGCTCAGGGGTTTGACTGTTTCCAAATGTGAACTTCAGGCTGCCTGCTGATTCAGGAAGACAGTGCTACCATTGCTTACGTCTCGTTATCCTCACCACCCTGGGAAAAAGGAACACCAGCAGTGTTGTTGTTCAGCTTAGAGGTCTGGAATTTCTGCTCACTTGTGTGTAATGTAGGATACCCCATCTCCAATGGAGCTGTGGAGCACACATCCCTGAGTCAGATTTGGGTTCTTCTCCATTGACCTGCTTGCCTGATCTTGCTATAGCTACCTCTGGTTTGGCTCAGCAGTGCTGTGTTGCCATGCTGCAGATCTGAAGACCAGATGGAAACACCTTTTGGCACAGAGTGCTTGCTAAGCCGGGAGGACTGAGAGAGGGACATGTTGTTGCTTCCTCCATAGCATGCTCTTTCTTTCAGCTGTCTACTTGCTGCAATTTTTTGTATTTATTGTTTTGTATTATTTATAATTTATTGTATATTTTTTCTTCCTCTATGAAGTCAGAACAGTTGTGAGGCCTCAAAGATGCTCTCTTGCCTCTTGGCTTACTTTGAGCACATCTTGAAACATAAGAGGGAAAAATGCCAATTACTTTTAAATGCATTAGAATTGCAAAGCTCTGGTATCCTGTGTCTGTAGAGGAAAGCCTGGCATTTGTGAAACCAGCCAACCTGTACGTGATTGAGGGGATGCAGCCCACTGAAAGCTAACTGAAAATTAGCTCCTAAGCAGCTTCACTGCAAAAATTAAAAAGAATCAGAGCTTTTATTTCTCCTCAGCAAGTGCGAAGGTGAGTGCATCTAGTATTCCTAGTGGATTGGGTTGCTGCTGGACATGGAGCGATCTCCAGCTCTCAGGAAGCCCCCCACGGTGCCCAGAGAGCTGCCCACCTGGCCAAGGCACTCCTCTTCTAACACATTTCCTGCCCTGTTTGGTGAGAAAATACGAAAGAAATAACGTATCCGTTTTCCAGCGAGAAATTTAATTAGAAGGAATTAAAAGGTGTAGTTTATAGTTTAATTTAACGCGATGAAAAAAAGGATTGGTTTCCTCCCCCTACTGCCCAAATCCCAAGCTGAGTCGATGGCAGCCAGGCCTCGAATTGCATCCGACGGCCACAGAAGTGAAATGCTTACCAAGAAGAAAAGAGAGAGAGCTTCCACTTCAGATTTATGACTTGTGAAGCAGAGGTTGCACGGGTTAGCGTTAATTTATGTCGCACCGTGTCCCACAGACTTGACTTTGTTGTGTGCCCGGGAATGGGCTGAAAACTGATTTTGTTGGCTGCTTTTACAGGTCACATGCGTGCTTTAGGTTCTATTTTGGGCCACTGAGGCTCTCGGTTTTGTATACACAGTGAAATGTGTGTTCAGACGTGGGGAGTGTGTGCCTGTCCCTGCGAGGCAGGGTTCTCCCGCCCAGGTCGTTTCCCCTTTTTGGCGTTTGTTTGGATTGTGGCAGCAGTCAAGGAGCATCAGGAAGAAAATGAATGCGTGGGGCCTGTTGGTACTGTAGAGTTTTCCCCCTGGTTAAAGTCAGTTCAGCAGCAAATTCTGGTGCTGGGCTGTGTAGGGGAGCCCCTCTGCATGGTGGCCCTCCCTCAAGCGCTTCTGTCACGACTTTTCCAAAGCCACCACTTGCTGTTGAGGTTGAGAACCCAGATGTGGCTTCTTAAGGATCTCTCAGCCTCACAGTAGGCTGATGCAGAGCAGAGCCTCACAGTAGGCTGATGCAAAGCAGTTTTCCTCACACTCACAGTTCCAGTGTCTTTGTCCAAAAGAAACCTTTGGGGAATGCTTACACATCTCAAGCCTTTAGCAGAGCCATTGAGTAGCAGTAATAGTTGAGCTGATTATTTCTCTTCGAGGTGAGAGGTGGGGAAGCCAGGGCCAGTGCACTCACCTTCCTGAGCTTCTGCCATCTGACAGAAGAGCCACTTCCAGTCAACCAGATACAAATGGGAAGGACTTTTATGAATTTAATGGAAAAAGACATATTTTAACAGAGCTCTTTCTGTTTCAGAAGGCTGACTTGGTCTAAAAGGAAATGGATGGGAAATGGTAAAGGCAAGCAGCGTGAAGGAGCTGCACAGTATCTCTCAATTCCTGGGCTGGCAGCCTAGCCACAGGGAGGACTTTCTGGCTAGCAGCTTTACGCTGGATTAGAGGTGCTTAATTTCTTCTGTGCTTTCAGGTTTCTCTGTTTTTGGAACAGTGTCTGCTGGTGCTGGAGACCAAGAGTCGGCTGTGTTTGGGAGGAGCTGGGGATACACAGTGCAGAGCAGAGCTGTCTGCGAAGGAGGAGCTGTTTGGATAAGAAACAGTTGCTTTGAGCAGGAGATTCAGAGCGGCTCTGGCTTTATGCTAGAGAGAAAGGAAGTCTACCTGTCCAATTTAAATAATCTCGGTGGTATTTGCAGCGCACGTTACAAAGCCAGAAGCTGGAATCAACCTGAGGTAAGCCCTGAGTCAGCATCAGTGCGTGGAGCACAGGGACAGGTAAGAACCAGAAGCGACTCTGACAGCTTGTGAGTGAGCAGCCATGCTGGGAGTCCTCCTCACACTCTCCTGTGGGCAGACAAGAACCCTTTAACCATTTGCACTGTTCTTTATTTCTTTATTTATTTTTCTGCAGAGACAATAGTGGCAAGAGAGCTTGAGATGCTTCTCTCTGCAGCATCTCAGGTTGGTCCACTGACCATCACAGTAGCGCTTCACTTTAATGTAGCTCCTGTAAGCAGAGATGGGAAAGAAAGGAAAGAGCTGCTCTAAGTAATGTCTAAGGATTAAGTGGTTTCACATATATATTGACCTGAAAATAACTGTTACAATTGTTAACTTTATGCCAACATGTCAGAAATAGCTGAAGACCTTGTCACCTCAAGACATTGTCACTCCCAAGACCTTGGGACTTGGGAAAGTCCCAAGACATACTGATAAATGATGGCTCTGCCTTTAGGAAAACTGTAAAGCTATGGGCAAGGGTGAGATTGGGAAGCTCTCCACAGGCATATCTAACTCCAGCCTCTACTGGAGCAAGCTGAGACCTCATTTCTCCTGGCATTGTTTTTATAGCCACTTTGGTTCATGGCCACCCATAACCCTATGCTGACCAGCTTACTGCTTAGTACAATGAGTACATCTACACTACTCAAGTTGTTCAAGGCCAGGTTGGATGGGGCTCTGGACAGCCTGGTGTAATATTAGATATGGAGGTTGGTGGCCCTGCATGCGGCAGGGGGGTTGGAGCTTGATGATCATTGAGGTCCCTTCCAACCCAAGCCACTCTGTGATTCTTCAGGTTTCTTGTGACTCATGCCTGCCTTTTTGTGCCCTGAGGTTTGGGAGAAGGACAGAGAAGGCAGGAAAGAAAAAATGTTGCTCCCTTTTTATATGCTAGTAAAGATCTGGAATTCTTTGGCAGCTGATGCGGAGGTTGTCTTTCTTTCAAGAAGACTTGTGTTGTATTTCACTGTACAACCCAGTTGTGTTTGGTCTTTGCTCTGCAATTCTTGCAGGAGGGATTTTCTTCCTGTCGTCTGCAAGTTTTACTCTCCTGTGCTCTCTTCTTGCAGGCCATTCTCTTCCATGAATGTTACTCTCAGAGAAGGGAGGAGAAGAGGGCTGCAAGGAGGGATAGCTATTGTTTAGCTTGGCCAAAGATGCACAGCCCTTTCCAGGCTGTGCAGCTTGATGTAGCAGGAAGGTTTATTTTTTCTGGTCACGCTCAGGGTTTTATTCATGCTTCTTGTTGCTCCTGGCAAGGCAGGAACTGAACAAAAGTACCTCTCTATCTCAGCATGCTGGGCCTTCACTAGTCCAAACAAAAGGATCCTGACAGGCAAAGGGACAGCTGCACCAAGAGACTGACATTTAAAGTGCCTGATCCCGAGCAACCTGGATGCAGTGAAGTGGCTGAGCAGAAAAGAGCCAGGCAGGATTTTTTGACAGCAGCAGGTTTTCAGCATTACGGCTGTGGCCACACTCAAATGGCATGGGAGAAGGCAGAGGAGAGCAGGGATGCCCTCTGGGTGGCCCCAGCATCCTGTGGGGTCCTGGTAGCTGCAGGGGCAGCTCGGCTGAGGAGCGGCTTGTGCCTGAGGCCAGCCTCGCAGCCAGGAGGAATTCACGGCCCCACACAGTGGCTGTGGTTTGCATGTAGGCCTGTGCTGATCAGGGAGGAAGGAGTGGTGTTCTCCTCCAGTTTTAGTGCTCCCTGGGTCTCAGCTTTTCATTCCTGTCCACAGAAGTGTCAAGAAAGGGCTGGTTTTATGTTTAACTCTGTTAGACCGAGGGCTGTAAACTCAAAACCCATGTTAATAGGATACTTGTCTTTAGGAGCCAAGCGGAGGGTGAGAGACCAGGGTCTCTTGCAGCTAAATACTGTTCTATTGTGCTGTGTTTTATATCTGCTGGTAGGAGCGATCAGAAGCTGTGTGGGAACGCGTGTTAAATGTGTTATTACGTTAAAATGTCACTTTCTCAAGTATCATGTGCTGTATTTGCACGGGGCTTGCGGGCTCGCAGTATGCAACTGAGGAGAGCAACTGGAGCGCAACAGGATCACCCGAAGGCATCCAGCTGCCTCCAATGCGGGGCCACGGTGGGGAGACAGCAGCCCAAAAAGGAAAGGAGCATGAACCTCCTCTGCAGGCCTCGGCCTCCATGTCTGCTGCCATCCAAGCCCTGCAACGGGGTGGCTTTGTGGCCACGCGGAGCCGGGTCCCAGCCACCTGCTGGCACTTGTGCAGAAACAGCCAGGGGGAGTGGGAGGCTTCATCGCACTGTTAAAAGGCCACACTGACTTTGGCAAGCGTTGGGTTATTAAGTGCGGATTTCAGTGTCCCATTAAGGATGAAATTTGCTGAGAGGTGGGTTGTGGGAGGTGTCTGCTGGCTGCTGGCGTTCGCTTCCAGCTCGCTCTCATAGCCTGCTCAGAAAATTGGTCCTTATGTGTTTTGTGCAAGTGCAAAGCGCCCTTTCTCGTGTCCAATATTTAAGTTGCATTCCTGCTGTCTCTGCCTCCCTTACTTTGGACACCCATAACTCTGTATACTTACAGTATTTGCTCTGGCTGTCTCCTGGAGCTTGGCTCTCTTTTTGACACCCTTTCTCATTGTTGAAGCTGCAGACATAACTGGGAAAGCCACAAAGGCAAGCAGGCATTTTTGTTGGACAAGAAGCTCAACTTCTGATTCAACAGCTCAGTGACAGTCCTGTTTCTTGCGCTGAAGTTTCCAGGTGGTAAAGACCACTGTGAGATTGTCATACTGCTGCAGCTCTTTAACAAGTGTCCTCTTCTGAGCTGCCTTCTCCAAAGCTTTGGGAGATGGAAACAGACACTCCAAGTGTGTTTCCAGGCTCAAAAGTAGGCATTAATCAGCACTGACACATACATTTGTATGTAATTGGCTCTCATTCCTGTGTAGGCCATTGCCTTAGAAGCCTTGAGGCTTTTTTTGCTGTAATAAAGGAAAAAGAAAGAGAGAAGGTGTTGGACATGACACTGGGTTTTGTCTGGCTGGGCAGATAAACAGTTCTGCTAAAATCCAAAAAAGCAGGCAAGCAAAATCTCAGGATTTGAAAGGGAGTCTTACCACTGGACTCAAAGGAGGAAATCCTGAAGTGGCTCTAGGTTGGAGGCTGTTCAATGACCCCAGCCTTGCACAACAGAAAAGGCATCAAAATAGCAAAGCTGCTTGAAAAGGAGATGGTGGAAAACTGCTGTTGAGTCACAGGACTCGAGGCATCATCTAGCAGACTGGCTAAGCTGCTTACTAATTGTTGAGTGCAGCTTTTGCAGTTAGCCAGAAGGCAGAGTGCCCCAGAGGGCCTCGCAGTTGAAGGAGAGATGGTCAGGCAGGATGGTCAGGAGCCTTACATATAGCCCATCTCTGTGTCCCAGGCTCAGCCTCTCCATTCTTCATATACAATGGTGGTAACAGATCTCCTTTTCTCCCATGCCCTCTTCTCCTATCTTCTTGCAGCTGCAGGCTGGACATCTGGGCTTCCAAGCCAGGGCTCAAAATGAGAAGAGTCTTGTGCCACCAGAAATGCATCTGTGGAGGCGATGAGAGAGACAGCTCTCCTGGAAAGCCTTCACAGGACAGAAGGAGCAATAATTTGGAGGCAGCTTTGGGATTAGGACTGTTCTCTTTGCCGTGTCTGAGGCCCCAGTGGCAGCTTGGAACCGGAGTGCTGTGGTAATAGAAATGAGGACAGATTCAAATAAGACAAGTGATATGTTACCTTTAGCACTGGGGAAAACAGAAATGGCTCAGCAAAGCTGAGACAACATTTCTGGAGCAAAGCAAGGTTTTTTAAACAATTTCCTGATTACTTTGACTGCTTGATCTTACAGCACGAGTATTGCCCTGATGTTATTTTTTTGCATTTCATTTCCTAAGACGTCCTGAAGAGCGGGGAGTGAAAACTAAAATAAAACTTGGCATGTATTTTACAAGCTGTGCTGGCTTCTCCCAGAGTCCCCATCAACCCTTTGAACCACAGCTGCTCAGATAGCTGAGGTCACTGGAAAGGCTCCTACTGACTTCTTATGGGCTGGATTTGAAACTCCTGCAGTGGTGTAGTTGCAAGCTTGCCCAAAAGACCGTTTTGATAGAAGAGCTCCCACAGGCTGCAGTAGATGTCAGGCAAGGCCTGGAAAGGATGGTCAGTTGTCTTCTAAGAGTGTTTGCAGCAGCTCCCAAGCTTTGCTTTGTCCTTCAAGCTCAACATGAAGAAATGTGGTTAGAATTTTTTATTTTTTTATTTTTTAATGGGGAAAGTTGCTTGCCTCAGGCCAAGCAGAAAAAATGTGGAATGGATTTGGATCAAACTTTTTTTTTTTTTTTTTTTTTTTTTAACTTTTGGAATTTTATTTAAAGAAATAATAGTGCCTTGGGCAAGAGCTGAAGCATGGAAAAATTTATCCCAAAAGGTGGATGCTTTGTGAAATTATAAGCGTGTGAAAACAGGTGGTTAAACTGAAATGGTTTTACAGATTGAAGCACAGAAGGTGCTACCAAAAACCTGTTATAAATCCTGAACTGAACTCTTCTTGAAAGGCCGAGGTAGAAGAACAGGCCATCAGCAAGTAACCTGAACCACTACCAAACCCACAGGCGACTCAAGAACCAGTAAAGACGCCAAGCAAAATGAGAAGAGGCTTTCTGAAAGGTCAGCAAGGGAGCCAAGTCCAGGCCCAGGCTTCAGTATATAAACTCAGTCTCAAAAACGACACCCTAGTGACCGACGTCTGGCTGGGACAAATTTTACATACAGCACCTGATCCAAAGTCAGTGGCAAGTGCTTTGTGATCTCCTCAGCGTTGGATCGGGGCTTTAAACGTGCAGCCAGGAAGAAAAACATATAAGCACTGTGTTTCAGCACGCTGAAGGGTAGACAAAGAGCAAGAGCCAAAATCACAGTGCCTTTTGCCGTGAGAAGTGGTGGACGTATTGCTGAGGGTGGAAACACTGAGAGGAGCCCTGTCTGTTCTATTCTTGGTCTGCACAGTAGTTGACTGAATGGTTTCCAAGCACAACGCGAGGCTCTCACTGTCCTCTTTACTATGAACCAAGTTCCTACTGGAGCCCAGCACCTCAGGAGCACGTCTTCTGGACAGATTCACCTAAAATAAATAAGGAAATTCAATTAGTGAAATGTTATGTGAGTGAAAGCTCCTTTCTCTTCAGATGAACATGCCTCTGTGTGTGTGTGCGTGTATGTTCCAAAGGATGCTTGACTCCATAGTCTATTCTGGGAGACTGTCTATTGCTCTATCTGTTCTTCACATATCCTAGCAGAAATGAAGGCCATCCCCATTTATGCCTGACTCCCCTGAGCTCAGCTTTGTCTCGGTGAGGTCCTCCCAGAGGGCACAGCAGCCAGGGGCAGTGGGGCTCCAGCCCCACACTTTGCTCCCAGCTCCGTTATTAATGTGTGTTGGTGCAGTGCTTTCAGGCTCGCCAGGTCGCCAGGAATGAGCTGATTGCTGTCGTGTTACTAAAATGTAAGTGTGATTATGAAGTGTTATGATATATGGTCTGCAGAGTTTTACAGCTGTGTCTTAAAAGGCTCATAACATGAGGGGGAAAAAAAAAAAGAGTGGGAAGGGGAGGGCTTAAACTAGAAGACAGAAATACAGTCAAATTAAGGAGTACAATGGCATTGCTAATTAAAACCCCTTGGAGAGAAGGGAGGAAGGAAATGACCTAACTCCCAGGGCTGACACAGGGTGGTTATTGCCCAGGGAGAAAGTGAAGGAAAGGCAAGCCAGAGGCTGGAGGTGAGACCTGGGTGATAGGAGATAAGGCCTTAAGCTCTTTTTCCACTGCCATAGAGGAAGATAGAACCAACCACAGAGACTTCACCAGTTGTCCAAACCCTTTGGTGCGTGGAAAGCAGTAATGAGGACTTCAACCAAGGCAGAGAGTTGCAACCTCAGTGCCGGCTGTGTGCACCTCACTTTGGTACAGAATAGTGTGCTGGCATCTTCCTGGAATGACAGTGTGCTCCATGAGAGCCTTGCAAGGGCTTCCACCAGACCTTGTGTACAGACAGGGTTACCAAGTGTCTGGGCTGTAAATTACAGATTGTTTTGCTGTGTAGCAGTGGAAAAAGAGTTTGGAAAGAGAAATCATGAGAGAATTCATAAATGAACATGATGCTCATCGAAGCCAAACCTGGACAGTTGTTTTCATCAGTACGAAAGAAGTTTAAGTTTGCCTTTTTCCTGAAGTAAGTTGTTTTTCTATGCACTCGTGAGATAAAAATAATCTGAATTTGTCCTGTTGTCTTATCCTTTCTTCAGATATCCTCCACAGAAGTGCAGGACCCTATGACTGTGCTTTGAGCCCTACAACTTTGTCTTCTGTCCCTTCAAAGCAGGATGAGTCTTGAGGTCTCCTCACCAGCCTCTCCAAGCAGGACCTTATTCTGCCACCTGGTATCAGAGCAGCACCTCTCATTCCGAGGCAACAGTGGCACATCACCTGTTGGGCAAGTAACTGTTCAACCAGTCAGCCTTCCTCTTTGTGTGTCCAAGCCTGGTGAAATGGTGAAGTGAGGATGGTGAGGCCCTGGCACAGCCTACCTGGGGAAGCTGTGTCTGCCCCATCTCTGGCAATGCTCAAGGCCAGGCTGGATGGGACTTTGGGCAGCCTGGCCTGTAGGAGGTGTCCTTGCCCATCGCAGGGGTTAGGGCTGGGTGGGCTTTAAGGTCCCTTCCAACCCAAACTGAGTCTATGAAGAAAAATAAAAGCTTTCCCAGAAAGCATGAGCATGACATGTCAGTGTGAATCGTGCTGCGAGGGGACAGGATGCACTGTTTCAGCCTTTGGCCTTGCTTCCAGAGAGGGGACTCCAGAGAGCTCCATGCCATTTATTCTTGCCTTGGCTCTAATCTTGGCTTTTTCCTTCAAAGCAATCCAACTGGAAAGTGTGTAGGAACTGCTAGTCTTCCTGTTCTCCATTTTATCCATTCAACAGAGTCTCCTCCACTCTCTTTGGATTTTAGTAGTTAATTAGGTGAGTCAGTACTTCCTGGTCATAGGCATGACTTCAGCACCTGATGTGTAAGGTTCAGAGCCTTTCAAGATGACTTCAGTCCACCATCCAGATTTTCTTAGAGCTAAGTATGCATAGATGAGCCTTTTTTTTTACATGCAGCCTTAGAGCTGTTGGATTACACAGCTCCATACAGGTTGGTCCAAAATCCAGATAAATTTAGATCAGACATCAAGTCCTGCCAAAGACTTACAGATCAAAGCAAGAAGAGTGCTGGCATGGGAACGCAATAGCATTCACTACATTGGCTTCCTCTCCAGCTCAGCAATGGATCTCTTTCAGTTTGAGGCAGGCCACCTCCTTCCCATTGCTTGGTTTAAATGGCTTTGTACATCATCTTTGTGCACTGTTTGCAGCAGTGGAGCAATGATGCAAACAGAGATCAATAATAATAGTAGAGAAGAATTAACAGGGGCTAATAATGACTTTGTCAGTTGGAGATTTGCTTTCATATGAGACTGTCTTTCCCTCCCTGTGTTACTCGCCTACAGCACTTTCTGAATGTTTCTTAAGTGTACTTGGCAGAATGAAATGCCATTCCACATGTTGTGGCATTGATAGACTCCTTTTACTGAAGTTAAAAAATGGTCCTTACAGACTCATTTGTGGTACTGCTAATGCACTGTCTCAAGTGAGCAGTGAAAATAACGTGTCACCACAAGGCGTAAGTAACCAGGACAGCTTTTTAAAGCAGGCAAAGCTGATCTGCCTTACCTGCTCGTGGGAAAGCTAATTTTTCTGTACTTTACTGAATTTTTCCTACATCTAAAATGACACCAACTCTTTCCCCCTGTGCTCTGAAAGGATGTAATTTTTGAGATGGATGAAACCTGACAGCAGTGGGAGCGGAAGTACACAGCACTGATCAAAATCTGCTTTCAGCAATCCACACTGCGTTTACTTCTCTTTGTCTAAGGATGGAAAGGAAAAGGAAGAGGACATTTCTGATACAGGATCTGTCAGCACAGCATGTTTGGCCTCAATTGGTGCCAGGGGAGATTCAGGTGGGACATGAGGAAAAATTTAACCTCTGAAAAGAGCGGTCAAGTGCTGGAATGGGCTGCCCAGGGAGGTGGTGGCATCACCATCCCTGTGGGTGCTCAAGAAATGTTTGGATGTTGAACTGAGGGACATGGTTTAGTAGGAAATGTTGGTGGTAGGTGGACGGTTGGGCTGGGTGATCTTGGAGGTCTTTTCCAACCTTGGTGATTCTATGTAAGCTGTGGTCAATTTCAAGCCAGAAGCCAGTCAGCCTAAGATAATTAGGACAAAAGATGATGTGGAATGTGATGATTTCAAATGATACTGTGTTCCTGTAAGCTGAAAGTCTATCACTTATTAAGGCAACTCTTAACATCAGAAACTTTCAACCTCATAAACTTTTCTTCGAGGACCACACACAAACCTGGAGCAAGTTTCCAGCCATATAACTGGTCACTCTAATGCAGTCCAGAGTCTGGAAAGGACAACTGCCTCTTCTCTCGTTTAACTTGAGCCTAATTACATGTTGCGTGTCACTGTCACGACTCCTAGTGCATCCCCTTTGCTGTAGAACTGGCCTCCGGGTCCTCGGGGAAAGAACAGGCTTTCCCTTGGCCAAGGAATGAAACCTTGCTAACTGCTAACTCCTGAAGATCAGGATGAAGTTAGAAAGTGAAATGATACTTGCAAGTCCCAGAAATGAGGAGTTTAAGGGTGAGAAAGGGGCTGTGTGCTGGAGTTTCCAGCTGTCTCTGTCACTTCCGAGGGGAAAGAAAGAAACTCACAAGCCTGACCAAAGCCTTTCCTGGAGGATCTGTTCCCTGGGAATTCTCACTTTGATGGCTGTGAAATCCATAAAGTTTTTCTTCTTGTATGTGGGAAACTGAAGTTAAGATCCAGTGGGGCTGTCCTTGGTTAAAGAAATGATGGTAAATATAACTTGCAAATGCAACACCAAACGTGGGCACATAAATCAACACCTGAAGTGCCCGTTTATATAGGCTGCCTCCTTCCTGGGGGGCTGTGGAGGAGTCATCCTGCAAGCAAAACCCCATCGAGCAAGAGGAGGCAAAGTCCCATCAAGATATGACTTCACAAATCCATCAGCAATTTCATTTCAGAAGAGATACAAGGATTTAATACAGCTGTCAGCAGCATTCTTCAGGTCGCACTGCTGCATGAAAGAGAGTGTTAGAACCTGGGACTTAAACTAAACAGATTTCCTATAGGAAACACACACAAAATTACATTGCTTCTAAAGTTACTTTTATAGACATTTTCCCTGAGAAGTATTTCTCCCTGGAAAAATAAATTCACAGGATGTAATTAAAACAGCTATATGTGTACACTGGAGTGGCCCCCTTTAAGTGCTTCACCAAATGCACCACTAAATAAAGGAATGAAAGCCAGCTTTGTTTAAATCTATTAATAACAATATGTATTAATTATAAAATGAGACATTGTTCTCTTAGTTTATGGTTATGAAAATAGCCTTTAATACGGCTGAGAGTGGAGTACTCAGCTTTGCAGTTGTCTGCACTGTTAGCAAGGCTTTGAAAATCTGCCACAATCTGCTTCTTTTCCTTGTCACACCCTGACCTGATAAAGGCAATAGGTATCAGATTCCATGCCCTTTAGATTCTGGTAGTAACTGGGTGTTGGTGAGTTTGTTTTCATCTGCTTTTCTTGCCCTTTTCTCTGTTTTTAGCTCCTTTTTTTTTTCTTTCATTTTCTTGAAAAAGTATTAAACTTTAACACACTGCATTCTGTTGCAGTTTGACTCGGAGCTTTGGGGAATGACTGCTGAAGAGGTTTGTAGTGATCCATCTCCACTCTGAGAGGGAGCGTTGCTGCTGCTCAGTGCACCTAGATAATTAAGGATAATAATTAGCTTGCCCCCATGCCCCAGTCCAGCACAGCTACTCTGCCTCCCTTGCCATTACTCCACCAGCAGGGCTGTATAACACGACGCTGCTGACCTGAGGAAGGGATGCTGATGGTACTCAAATCAGGTGCAAGTAGCTGGATGGCTTAGAGATGCTTTTCATGTTTTAGCATCTTGTGGAGTTACCTGTCATCTCCCATAGCCCTTGCTGATGCAGGATCATTGCTCTGCCATTTTGGGGAGCAATTTGGCTGGCCTCATCTGCTGGAGGGAATTGGTGCAGTGCAAAGGAACGTCCCAGCTGCTACTCTGCTCTTCTGTGTAGGTCATCTCTTGCTTTGCTATACCTGGTTGGATACCTTTTATTTTTTCTTATAGTGTCAATTTGAGTTGGAAAGGACCTTTAAAGGCCATCTGGTTCAACTACCCTGCAATGAACAGAGAGACATCTACAGCTGCATCAGGTGCTCAGAGCCCCGTCCAGCCTGGCCTTGAATGTCGCCAGGGATGGGGCAATTCTTCCATTACTTAGTTTCAACCTTCATCCTTTCCTGCTAGCAATACAAGCTAGAAGTCAAAGAGTAGAGTGGCACCTGTAAAATGTTTCGTATTTGCTATATTGCTATCCTGATCCCTACAAAGCATTTCCATGTCTTTCAGGCAGGAATGGCTGCGTTCTGTGTCTTTCTCAGTCGGAGCACGGAGCAGAGAGATGTTTCTAATGCAACACCAGTGCTGGACCCCTTTGCAAAGGGCCAGGTAAGAACTTGGGGTCATTTGTTAGAAGAAATGTTGCATCACTGTTAAGCCTAGAGAAGGAGACACTGTAAGAAGGATTATCAGAACAGCCAATGTGCTTTCTTTACTGGAAGTTTTGGTAGCTGAGGCATTTTAAATAGCCTCCCCAGAGCTCCTTCCAGTTGGGGAAAAAAACAAAACAACAAAAACCAAAAAGAGACAAAAGGAGCACAGCAAAAATGAACAGAGATTGATCTGAAGTGCCTTGCAATAGAAACCTCTTCCCCAGGAAGGATGGGAGCAGGGAAAGGAGCTGAGAGTCCATTTTCATTTTCTAATTAGCCCTGAGCTGCCTCTCCCTGCCACGACCAGACAAAGCTGGGCCAGGGAGCGCTGCCCGGGAGCCACTTTGGAGCTGTGCAGCATCACTGCATGGGAGTGGGGAAAACAACTGGGGAAATGTTTTATGTTCACGCTCTACCTCGGAGGTGGGCCCGTGTCCAGAGCGTACGGTAAAACACGCAGGAATGCCGCTGCTCAGAAACACGCTCGTAATTCTTATGCCCCTCTTTCCAAAAGACACCTTTCTTCATTTAATTGTTCTAAAACCGCAGCATGTTCGCATTACCCTCTGCGGAAATTACATCTAAGAATGACTTTGTAGTTTCTTTTTTTAGTGTTGCGAGTGGAACAGGGGGTTGCTCTTGCTTTGTTTAGTTTCCCTAAATCCCTCTCACCGTAACAGCCAGAGGCTTCTTTTTCCCTTTTATTCTCCTAGGACTCAATTCAATAAATATACATCCGGCTCCTTCCCAGGCATCGTCTGGCTTAATGAAATTGTGCTAGGCACTTCCAAGACAAGGATGTTTATTTTTCTCCGCTGATTTGGTTAGGCTGGCCTCGGCCCCGCGTGCCCGCAGAGCTGCTCCATAAAGAGACCCTTGTGATTGCACGGGGATGCTGTGTCAGCCGGTGAGCGCCTGCACTCACTCAACACGGGGATTCTTTTACTTCGGAGCCGGAGTTGGGCGGGTGGCTGTATTTTCTATATACAACACAGAGGGAAAAAAAAGCACGCCGAGAGCACGGTGTTAAGGTGCGAAAGTCAAGCACTCGCAAGGCAGATATGGCTAGAACTGTCTGGAGAGCAGGCTTAATTCATCTGTTTATGTGAGCACATTATGAAACTCTCCTATTTTTTGCCCAGTCCCGCGCTTGTCTTTAAGTTATGGCATTTTCCAGCTTTTGCCAGAACTTTCTACCTTCACAACCCAACACCCTGGCCTGTTCCTGGATGCTGTGGTGAGGTTAGAGGTGTAGACACTGCCACAGTGGACATGGGGAGCCATTTATCACTTACAGAATTATTCAGGTTGCAAAAGAGCCTTAAGATCACCAAGTCCAGCCATCACCGAACGCTACCCAGCCCACCAATAAGCCACGCTCCTAAGCATCATGTCCATACATCTCTTAAATGACTCCAGGGATGGGGACTCCCTGGGCAGCCTTTTCCAACGCCTGACTACTTTTTCCATGAAGAATTTCTTCCCGATAACCAATCTAAGACCCTCCTTGATGATGTTTCCTCACATCCTACATGTTATCAGCGTCCCACAAGTTTGTTCTCCAGTGCTGGCAGCAAACCTCATTTTAGACAGGGTCTGCATTCTGAGTCACTGGCTGCTGAACCTTCAGCCCTAGGTCATGCCTACTGGTTGGCAGCCCTGCACATAGCAGGGGGCTTGGAACTGGATGATCTTTGAGGTCCTTTTCAACCCAGGCCATTCTATGATTCTGTGATTTTGCAACTGCCTGAAATGTCTCAGAGTTCCTCGGCGATGGCATGAGCTGCTCAGAGAAAAGGATATTTTGCTGTTTTCCTGCTGTGGCTTCTCCTCAGCTCAGCCCAGGCTGTTTTATAGGCTCCATCCCACTGGCACACTTCAGTTCCAGCTGTCAAGACAACCTTATAGAGAAGGTCTATATCACAAAGCCATCCCTCTTCTTTGGATGTCCATCTCTTGAGCAGAGGTAGGCCTCCCTCCGCAGTAGGCTGGAGACTGTCAGAGGGATAGGCCATAGGAGCCATCACTCATCAATAGGGAAGGCCAAAAAACACCTCCTGCTTATATCCTGTCCACCTCTCCCGAAGCCTCACATTTGGAGGGCTGAGTTTGGCTGTGCTGATGTCACTGAGCACCCTGCAGCACCCATAAAATACCCGTGCTTGGACATTTCCTGAGCCAGCAACACCAGTGCCATAAGGCTCCTCAGTAAAGCTGTCAGCTGTCTCCAGACAAGTTCAAACACTTCAGGCTGCAAGTCAGAGTTTCAGCCAACAGATGTGAAGTACGATCTCTCTTTGTGTCAGGAGACAGTCAGTGCTTTGAGACGTTCTGCATCTTTCCATGCAATAAATAATAAAAGCTTGGCCAATCGCCATTTGGGCGAACCGATGCAGAAAAGCCAGGTGCATTCAAATGCCAGTAGTTCAGGGTGATTCCTGTTCTCTTCGGCTCTGCTGGCGGTTACTCACAGAACAAACCATTTTCTTTGCCTGAGAAACCTTCGATCAAAGCCACGAGGGAGTTTGGAAATCTCCATTTTCATATTTAGAGGGAGATGGTTGCTCAGGGAGCATCAGCGACCTGCCTGAGCTCATGTAGTGAGGGGCAGGAGTGGGAAACCTGCATTGTATTAGTGGCGTATCCTGCTTTCCTCCTACTTACACTGTCCTCAACTTGTTCAACTACAGCCTTGCTTTGAAAAGAGCTGGTCTTGCTGCTTTCAGTTAGACTCGCTTCCTAGTTTGCTCATGATGAAATGTTCGATGGCTATCAATAAATATGATTTCTTTCATGTTAGGCTCTCTTCTTTTTAGTTCTGCAAAACTACCAAATATTTCAATTAGGGCAGTTTCTCTATTCAGCTGAGGATGGAAGCAGCACAACAAGTTCCAGTCTACCAAAAGAGTGGGTGAAACCAATGGACTAACTGTAACTTTGAACAAACTTTTGACATTTTTTGCCTAGGAGCTTACCTACATTTTCAATGCTTTCAGCAAAGTGAAGGACAAATATTCCCATTCCCAGCAAAATTGCATCATGGTCTCTTTTTTTCCTCTGTATGGGGATTAAATCTGGTCACATTTGAGCCAAAGCAAGGGGAAGGTTCAGCTCCCAGTGACGTGGGGAAAGCTGCAGAGAAGTGTTTTGCACATGTGCTGGGCATTAGAAATGAAATTTTCTGTTCCCCCATCTCTTAGAGTGGCTTTCTTCCTGCTCTCGCTTTTCTTTCAGGTACTTCTGCTACACAGTCGTGAAAGAAGTTTTCCAAAGGACAAAGAAGAGAAGAAAAAAAAAGAAAAAAGAAGAAAAAAAGATTTCTAGTTTGATTTTCCTATCAAAATCAGAGTACTTTTGTCTTCAAAGTCCCTAGTGAGATTGTGGGAAGTTTGACTGAGTTGTTCCTGCGTGACTCATTCCTCAGCAGCTCTTTGCTGTCAATGGAAACTTGTCCTCAACAGATTTTATGTTATTTTCTAATCTGCCTGCAAGGAGGTGTTTTGTTTGTTGACTGAGGTGAAGGAGGTGCCTGTTTCTCCTTTGGGTATTCCCACATCTACCGTCAGAGGAAGGCTCTAGATGGCAATTTCTCCCAGCAAATGGTGATGTTGGTGTTTCCACCTGCCATCTCCTGCTCAGATGTGGCCTGCAGTTGCTGCTGCTGATGGCCTGATCAGAGTAATGATACCCACCAGCATGCCTGCCCCAAGCACCTGATGGAAGGTCAAAATGCATAAAAATACAGCTTATGCATTGGTCTTCTCCACGAAGACAGTCATATTAATGTATGTTAAGACAGATGCACAGCACTATTAGCTTTCTGCACTTCTATAAATTCATTCCAGCTTAACAGGCACCATGTAACCCACCTGATGACTTCTTTGTGATTACAGCTCCAATCCTAATGGCAATCTTGGATGCTATAATTAAGATCGCCTCTCATTTCTCATTGCTGGTTTCTGTTGCAGCCACTTATTAATATACATCTTCATGTCCACTACAGAAACTACATAAATACCACAGAAAACTGTTGAGCTCTGCAAAAAGAGGGAAAGAGGGGATTTCCCCCCTCCCTTCCCCACAGATGCATTTATCACCAGGGCAACTTGACTTCAGCATTCACTAAAAATTGAAGTTGTTGGCTTAGATCCAGGAAGAGAGTTTTATAGACTGAGCTAAGTGTGAATTACAGTAACAGCAATGACTTCTTTTCTCTTCTCTTCTCTTCTCTTCTCTTCTCTTCTCTTCTCTTCTCTTCTCTTCTCTTCTCTTCTCTTCTCTTCTCTTCTCTTCTCTTCTCTTCTCTTCTCTTCTC